ATTGAGCATGCATCAGAGTAATCTGTTTGTGTTTCTGTATTTCACTGTCGGTGTTTCTGGTGTTTTTAGTTTTCCCGTGTCAGATCCATTTGGCCCTCAGTCTCTCCAGTGTTTCTGTTTAAAAAGTGAGGTTCTGGTGTGATTTACAGAACTGTATGGACTCTGCAGAACAACGGGCAGATTGTTCCAGAATCTGGAGGTCCGATCTCCTCTGACCTTTAACTTGGCCCTCGGCTGCACTTAAAGCAGCCGACTGGAGGATCTCAGTGTGGAAGTGCAAAAGATCCATTAAATAACTGGGTGTCGAGACATTTCAAACTCTAAAAGTCAGTAAAATTATCTAAAAATCCATATGAAGGTGAACAGGCGGTGATGCTCCTGTTAAAGACGAGCCTAACTGCAGGCGATGGATGATGAGTTGATGAGGATGAATAACTGAATGCATCATTCATATTTAACTCTTAAATTAATAAAACCAACACGTCTGAAAGGACCTTTCTGTGACTTTGACTGTTTATTAAGAAATGCATCAGTTCAGTTATGAAAAGCTTTCATTAAAGTATCAGTCAGTGCGCTGAGACACAGAGGCCGCGGTGCAGTTCTCTGTTGTCTCTTCATGTTCTTGTGCACAGAGTCAGGAGTGCACAGACCAGGCCCAGGTCAGCTCCTCTCAGCGACGTCTGTGTGGCAGCTGAAAGAAAACAGAACAAAACCCTGTGAGACGAACAGCTAGCATCATTTTCTGCTTCTGCTGAGCGTTCAGGGTTAGTCACACTACAGACGTGCAACTCTCGGGTTGTTCTTATAAACACAATATTTCCACAAAATTAGTAATTTGGTGTAGTTTGAGATGCTGAATTTATTCTACTAATTCAGTGAATATACACACGATAACATTATCGTGGTTCCCTTTCAGTGGTGGACTGATAAACTACAGAGGAAGTTGAGGTCACCTGAGGAGGAAACGGTGGGTGAGTCATCTTTAGTAATTGGTGATGGGGGTTGAAAAGTAAAGTTTTTAGTTGAGGATGTAGTCGGGTGTCTGTCAGTGTCACCACTGCCTTCAT